GATTGCATTGGAGAAAGCCAAGGAGATATACTATTGAGCAAGGGGAGCGACAGAGAGGAGCGAGGCAGAGGGGGAGGGTGACTGTATGAATGCAGTTTGCCGTCGTGTGTCGCTGAATCACAGCGAAGTCTACAGGCAGAATTGGACCTGAATCAACAAATGGATACAGAAAAACTGGATGTACACTGTATATGAGGAGAAAATAAGGGAGGATGAAGAGTCTGTCTTTTATCTCTGCATCAGTGAGGAAGCCACGGGGAGGGAAAGGAAAATAACGGACAACTCATTTCTCTCATGCACCCTCAGATACTGAGGAGCTGTGAGCCAGAGTGGACTGTGGGACTTGCTGGGTTTGAATATATGCTCAGTAAGTGTTTGTATAGGCTCCAAATGTCAGTGTATGTAGATTGATGCCTCTGGCTTATGCACTGCCTCGGATGCTTTTTTCATGAAGAAAGAGAAAAGGAAGAAAATCTGAGAGAAAGAAGTGAATGCATTTGTGCTGCAATGTCTCTTCTACTGTGATATGCCGTTTGCATCACAGGACAGCTTATTTTTTCTAATTTAACTCCCCCAGACTTGACTGTGTGTTTGTGCCTTTTCCTCCACAGTGCCGGTTTGTGTGTGAATGCGAGTGTGAGTGTGTGAGAGCTGATAATAGCAGCCCCATTGGTATTCAGTGGAAGGAGCTCCAGGATCTCGCTGCGCCTTTCCCCAGGATGGGATCACAGAGCAGGGATTGTGCTCGCCTGTGGAGAGCCCGCTGAAATGGGTGAGTGTCCATTCTCTTCTTCCTTTTTTCTTTCTCTCCTTTTCCTGTTTCTTATATTGCTCTGTTTGTGTCCTCTTTTTTTAGTCTGCAGTTGTGTTCAGTGCATTTTCTCCTCTGATGGGTTTCTTTTCCTTGACACTCTCACACACTTACCCTGTCCAACCCACCTCCCTACCACTCCCCCACCTGTTTCCCTCCATCCCTCCTTTCGTCTTCTTTCCCTCCAGCATTCATCTCCCCTTATGCCTCTTTTTGTCGTGGATCTGGACAAAATCTGAATAGCACAGTTCAGTTTGTTGCTTCTCTCCCCACCTCTCACCCCACTCACTGTGTGGGATCGGTGGGACAGAAGGTTATGAATCTGATCAGCGTGTTTAATTGTTTCAGGCATGTCAGCTTTGACACATATGTACATGCACACACCCAGACACACACACACACACACACACACACACACACACACACACACACATACTGTTGTTCATTTTACACACACCTTTGTTTGTGCACTCTTTGCTGACATATACCTTCTGTACGCCAATTCACACCCACCTACCTCTTTTCACACTAGCGACACAATAGCATGCTAATGGTGCCAACAAAGGCTGTACACACATACACACACACTGTAGTACACACTGAGCACTAACCTTGCTAGTGAGCCAACACACACACACACACACACACACGGTCTTATCTTTAATTGTCCCAGGGAAATATGGGTGTCACAGCATAGTCATATCTTTCCACGCCATAGTATTGATTGGAGCTGATGCATTGAATGGCTTTTAATGTTTCATTTAAATTGGACCATCACCTCACTGGACTCCAGAAAAAGGAAGGAGTCACAAGACATTTATAATGATTTTGTTTTGTTGAAAGACATGATGTTGTTGCTACATGGCTCTAACTGACATCTGCTTTGGAAGAAATTCATGCTTTCTCTGCACTGCTCAGAATTAAGGCTGTATTCATCACTTAGCTGCAAGTTGTGACCTTTTTGATTAGAATTCAGAACAAGCTTTTATATACACTATTCAACAGGTGTAAACTGTTGCATAGTAACGGGTGAGATCAACACTTGGGTAGGTAAGCTCTGACATCCTGTTGGTGTTTTTAGATGTTAGCAATCAATTTGACAAAAGCAGTATGATTTGTTAGGAAATGAAAAGAATTTAAACTCAGCAGGCATACGAGTTCAGGCTAACATTAGTTTTGCCATCTGTCATCTGAATGCCTACCTGTCTGCCTGAAGCATTGTTCATTTGAAAAGGATGTTAAAAAGGTGTCTTGGCACAATTTAAAGATTTAAATGTGACCGTGTGCTTTGTAGAACTGAAAAAGTGATCAAAGTATAAACTAAATCTGATCAATTATGACTCACAAAATGTACTAATTTTGGTTTGCATACATTAAATCCACCTCCAGTCTAAACAATTGGAAGGTTGTTGGTCCCTGATACAACCCATAAATTAGCGCTGCTTCTGGAGACACAAGATATACCACAGATAAACAGCTGAAAGTCACTATGATGTAACAGTGCAGTCTTACGGTTGTGGTTTGGTTTAGACACAAAAACAACTTGTTATG